AAAAATAAAAAGCAGAGCTGTTTAGTGTTGGTATTCTAGAAGGTCACAGGGGATCTTGTGGATTCATACAAACAGATGTTGGTCACAGAAAATGCTGTAACCTTGTAACGATGACAAGCTCGTATACTTGCGCACTCTCATTCTCGTACTTCTGCACAAAAATATTTTTAATAAGGAAGTGAAGTGGGAACTGAGCCACTACAGCTGGATCTCTGAAAGACAGATTCCAGATGAGTCTTTGGGTCCTGGGTGCTGTGACCCAGTGGTCCAGTGATCTTGTGCGTCTTCAGGCAGGTTGCTCTCCAACAGGAGTGGAGTGCTGTGACAAAGAGGCAAATAAGGAAAGGGAGACCACAGGACAGACAACTCACTACTCCTACTTCCTAGAGCAAATATTTATATACATTGGCCTGGAAGAGACATATTTTAGAAGCTATATCCTTACCCATTCTTATTCATTACTCTATCTTAGAAAACCAAAGTCCCATTGCACAGCTGGAACTCAAAGAGCCACATGGAATATTAAGAGTTCAAAACAGCAGTGAGCACTGCTTTCCCAAGGCCATTCCTTCTGCTGTGGTTGCAGCCAGGAGGGCTCAGGAGGGTGCGAACAACTATCTGTGCTTCAGCAGTGATGTTTTATGGCTGGGTGCCCAGATTGTCTAGCTTTGCACACAGCTCTATATAGCCTTTGGAGGGCTACAGGGAAAGAATGCATTCTTAACAAACAGCTCTCCATCCCTGCAACAGCTTCTTCATTCTCTGAAAGCATCTGTGGCCAAGAAAAGAATTCATTTTTAGTAAAACTCTAAAAATGGCACAAAGGGTATGAATTTTCACCATGTTTTTAATATGTAAAACCTCATCACATCCCAATTGGAGAATTAGTGAATACGTATTTTACTTTTCATTAAGTAAGTTCTAGTTCAAACGCATACTCTGCACAATAGGAAACGTACAGGATTATTTTAAGCAAGTTATTCAAACAAGTTCACTGGGCAAGGATTATACATTTCTTGGTTTCAACATCACACAATCTCTACACAAGGTTATAGCTATTTCTGACAAGTAACCTTTGTATTTTTAAGTAATGATATTCTTGAAAAATTGTGTGTAAGCCGAATGTCTATAATTGAGAACATCTTTATTGCATTAAAATTTAAAGAAAGCTTACTGTATATTATTTTGCAAAGTAAAGAATGCTCTCCTCATGACCGCACCATTATTTAAAAGCTAATTTGTAAAAATTGGGGATCCCTGGGTGGCTCAGCGGTTTAGCGCCTGCCTTCGGCCCGGGGTGTGATCCTGGGGTTCCAGGATCAAGTCCCACGTCAGGCTCCCTGCATGGGGCCTGCTTCTCCCTCTGCCTGTGTCTCTGCCTCTCTCTCTCTCTCTCTCTCTCTCTCTGTGTGTGTGTGTGTGTCTCATGAATGAATAAATAAAAATCTGTTAAAAATAATAATAATAATTTGTTTTTTTAATAATAATAATTTGTAAAAAATTTAGAGGTTCACAATTAGACTGACTTAAAGCAAAAAAATCTATAAAATCTGTCTGACAAAAAGGCCAGTTCTCATTTAATATTCTGCTCTCTCTACTTAAGTCTATGACATCTTCAAACAAAATTAAGATGCCAACTGTCTTAATTAAGCAAATAAAATCCACTCATCATACAAAATAGACTGCAGCACCAATACTCCTTCAAAAGATTTCCTTACAGCTCATTGAAAACACCAGAAAACCCTCTGAAATAAAGCTGGGGTGAAAGGTAAAAACCCATTTGTCTCAAAATCACCACTAAGAAAGCCATAACAATTTCAAAGAAACCAAAAACAAAACACACAGAAACAAAGTTGCCTGACTCTTCCCCTACTTACTTAGACTTTCCAGGCCCTATCTGCTGAAGGCTCTACCTCTTGCTCCCTCAACACATCCCTCTCCTGCTTCCAAGACCTTTTATAAATCTGTCCCTCCTCACCTCTCCGTTTCTCATGTTCCCCCACCTCTGACCCTGGGACTTTAGTTGCTCTGGCTAGATAATCTTCGTTTGCTACATCTGCAAATCTCATGTTGTTCTGAGAAGGGGAAACAGCCTCAGAGATGACAACTGATTTTCTTCCTTATAAAATCTTCTCTGATAGTAACCTTTGCACAATAAAGCCTAACTGAGCGCTAACGAGTGGCCTACAACATACACATGCAATCTCATGGATCTAATTCTTAATGGGGAAAGTCAAAAAGACATTGAAATAGTCTTTAAAATGGCTCTTAAGCCTTAAAATGTTAAGTTGTTAGGGAAGTTATACGATGCCAAAGACATTCTATATACTCAAATCAAATAACGGATAAATAAATTTCCATTAGTACTTTTTTTTTTTTTAATTTAAGATTAGCATCACTTTGAGTGGAGCAAGAGTAAGTTTACACTCAGGCCCTCCTTGCTCTCACTTGGAGCTGGGGCAGTCATGCAGACACTCCCGTCTGCAGCCAGTACTGTAGGAATTCTATCTTCCATTTCTTTCCAACTGAAAGCTCTCTTCACTAGGGAAAAAGGCTGCCCCCTCCAGCCCTGACCTCCTCCTCCCCATCTTGGTTTTGGAGGTGAGCCAGATGACAGCATTTGGAAAAGCACAAATTTATCTCAGTAAAGCCGGCTATTTAACAAAAAAGGTGGTGGTGGTGAGAAATACTGTAATTTTAGAGTATATTCCCCCCATGACTTACTTCTGTTTTGATCCCTGTGGATCCAATGAAACAGTACACCCCACTTTCCTCATAATCAGCCCTCTAATGCAACTATTTGTTCCAAAACTCTCAAGCCAACTAAGTATAAACATAAACCTGCTACAAAATAATCTTTGTCCAAGTGTTAGAGCATATGCCACTTGAAAAAGAACAATAAACATTGTAAGAAGAAAAACCAAAAGTCAACATTTACATGTACACTAGGTTACTACTAGAATATTTAAATGCCAGAATCCAAAATGAAACACTGAGGATTCACCCTTATGACAGACTCGCTGTCCACCTTATTTAATAGCTTAAGAGTAAAACGGAGGTACCGGTCAATAAGGTCTTCGGTTCGGACAAGAAACATCGGAGACTTAGTCTTTTAAAACTAGATCCTTGGGGTGCCTGGGTGGCTCAGTCGGTTGAGTGTCTGCCTTCAACCCAGGTCATGATCTCAGGGTGCTGGGATCAAGCCCCACATTGGGCTCCCTGCTCAGTGGGGAGCCTGCTTCTCCCTCTCCTTTGGCCCCTCCACCCCACTAGGGCGTGTATGCTCACACTCTCTCTACCCCTCAAATAAATAAAATCTAAAATAAATAAATAAATAAATAAATAAATAAAGCAAAAAAACAACAACAACAAGATCCTCACAATAAAATCAAGTCTGGGGCGCCTGGGTGGGTCGGTGGTTGAGCAGCTGCCTTCTGCTCAGGTCATGATCCCGGGGTCCTGGGATCGAGTCCCGCATCGGGCTCCCTGCAAGGAGCCTGCTTCTCCCTCTGCCTGTGTCTCTGCCTCACTCTCCGTGTCTCTCACGAATCCACTCCCCTGCTTAAGAAGTGCTAGTTTGAAAAAATCGCTCTGCATCACCCTAAGTCAAATTTCGCTCAGCCAACACTATTACTACTATTACCATTTTTCTGAGCTATCAATTTCCCATGACCCAACGTGTGAAAGGAAAACAATTCTGAGAACCTCTATTCCTATGAAAAGGCGAACATTAGAAACTTTCTGTAGAAAAAGCAAACTTTCACGACAGGCAAGTAAAGCAGCGGCTATAGCTATTAAGAGCGCCCCTCGCATCTGTAAACACCGACAATCAAACCAACGTGGTTAGCGCAACCGGGCTAGTCGTTTGCAAAGCCTCGTTTACCATCATCTCCCCCCAACGATGCATCCTAGGAGTGCCGCAATGGGAGGTGTTCTAAGCCCTTCACCGCCTCTGTGGTTGGGGAATAACGCACTTCTCCTCAAGGTGCCCTCAGCCAACCAAGTCCATCCGGCCCAGGGGCTGCATTTCAGCGTCTGCTCTTTCTCGCAGTACGGGAGTCCGCAGTGTAGGCACACACCTGTCAGCACCCCTGCACGTTTCCAACCGACCGGCACCGTGTGCTGAGACCGCTCAAGCCACGTTTCCGGGGTCTCCGCTCGCCCTCGCCGTTAATTCTAACCGTGAGGGAGTCAGTCGCGCGCAACCATCCCTCGGCGGCTCCCGCTCCGCTCGGGCTCGCAGCGGCGCGCACCCGGTGGCCCTCCCGGCCTGACCACGACGCCGACCGCGGCCGGGCCCCTCGGGAACACAGTGCGGGGGGGGGGGGGGGAGGGACCAGCCCGGCGGCCGCTCCGGCTGCACGTCCACGGAGCACCATTTTGAGTCCACAATCTGCAGCTCGTGCCTCGACGCCACCGAGCAGACAACCCAAATGGAGGCTTAACGTGACGAGAGGCAGAGCGGCTCGAGGCGACGCCGCTCGCTCTGCCCGGGGCCGCGGACGCCGCCGGGGGACCTGCGGCCGCCCCCCCCCCGCCGCCCGCGCCGCCCCGGCCCTGCAGCGCCGACGGGCTTCCCAGAGCCCCGGGGAGCCGGCGGGGAAGCCCCGCGTCCGCACCTGCCCCGTCTCACGGCCACGCGCCGACCGATTCAATGTCATCCGCGGGGCAACGGTGCACGCGAGGCGTCGCTCCGGCAGAGGCGGCTCCGCGGCCCCCGCGGCCCCCTCGGCCCCCTCGGCCCCCTCAGCCCGCGCGCGCGCCAGGCCGGCGGCTGCCTTCTCCGTCCCCCTCCCCCCCGACCGCGGCTCGGGGGCCTCCGCCCGGCGCGCCCCGGGGATGCGAGACCCACGGGCGCCCGCTCGCGGGGGAGGGGCGGGGGCGCGCGGCTCCGACGGCCGCGGGGCTCGGACGGGCGCTCGCGCTCCGGGCCCGGACGAACAAAGGCGGCGCGGCCCGCCCGGCCACCGCGGCGGCTCCGAGGCCCGGCCGGCGCTCACCTGGGCTCCGTCCCCGGCGGCGGCGGCGGCGGCGGCGGCGGCGGCTGCTCCTCGGCGGGGCTCCGGCGGCGCGGGCCTGGCGGCCACAGCGACGACGACGGCGACGGCGACGCGGGCGGCCGCCCCGGGGCCTGCGGGCTGCTCGGGCGGCAGGGGCCCCCTCAGCGCCGGCGCCGCGGGCTCAGGTCCCGGCGCGGGCGGCGGCGGCGGCGGCGGCGGCGGCGGCGCGGGCGGGTGGGCGGCGGCGCGTCCCGGCAGGTCCAGGTCCGGCCCCGGCGACGCCGCGACGCGTCCTCCTCCTCGCGCCCGCGAGCGGGACGGCGGCTCCGGCGCGGCCCGGGGTCCGAGGCGGCGGCGGCGGCGGCGGCGGCGGCGGCGGCGGCGATGTGCGCTGGGCGCTCGGCCGGCTCCGCTCCCTCCGCCCGCGGCTCGGGCGGGCCCGCGGCGGCGGCGGCAGGAGCGCGGCGGGCGCGGGGGCGGCCCTGTCAGGCGCGGCGGGGGCGGCCCGGGCGGCGCTCAGGGCTGCGGGGCGGCGGGGCTGGCGGCGGCGGCTGCGGCTCCCGGGGCCGTCGCGCTGAGGTGCGGAGCTGCCACCGCGGCCATCTTGTTGCTCTAACTGACAAGAACCCCCCTCCCCCCGCTCCAGCCAGACGGGGCGCTCGCGCCCCCTTCCCCGCCCCGCGTTGGCCTCCAACAGGAAGTCGTCCCGGCCCCTGCCACGTGACTCCGCCGCATCTGCATACCGGAGGGCGAGCCGGCCAATCGGCGCTCTGCATCCGAGCTCCGCCCCCGCGCGCCCCTCCCCGGCCCATTGGTTCGTCCCGGGCAGGCCACGCCCCGTCCTTCCCCCTTAATACCCGCTCGCGTTGTGGTTCCGCAGACTGCGCGGGGAGCGCGCCGGGGTGCGAGCGGGCGGGCGGGCGGGCGCGCGCGCGCTCCCCCGGCCCGGGCGCGTGCAGGTCTCGGGGGCTCGCGCTCCGCCCGCGGTGCACCGAGGCTCGGGCGACCTCCTTCCCGGTCCGTGGGCGCTGCAGCTCGGTGGAAGCGCGCTGGGCCGCGGGGCGCTACGTCCGCCCCGTTCGCTCCGCCCGCGCCCTGCGGCGCCTGGGCCCGGGTTCGCGCGGCGTTTTGGCCCCGCGGCGCCAGCCCTCCGTGCAGCCCCGACCGGCGCCCGCCCCGACGCGCGTCCAGCCCGTGCCGTGCACACGCCCTGCACCTCCCCACCGTGCACACACTCGCACACGCGCCGACCCGGGCCCGGGAGCATCCTGCCAGCCGCGCGCCTCCCCGCCTCCCCGCCTCCCCTTGCACGCAGCGGCTCCCGGGGGAGCGCCCTGCTGCGAACCAAACAAACCTCCCTACGCAACGGCTCCCCCACCTCCCGAGACCTCCCCCGCCCCCGAGAGCGAACCGCCCTCCCCCACCACGCGGACCCCGGGCCCCGGGGCGGGGGGAGGGGGGGCCCAGACGCCCCGGCGCTCGGTACCCAGTGCTGGTCCGCCATCCCGCCGCTGCTCGTCGGTGTACAGTCGTCATGAACCGTAGGTAGGGGTCAGGAGCGACGTGCGATTCAAAAGTCCCTTTTTAACTTTCGATACAAGTCACGAGTCCATTTTTAAAACCAAGAATTTTCTCCGTTTTCGTGAAGGGTCGTGGTGGCAGGCCAGCTTTCCCCTTGGCGCGGTGGAAGGAAGCTCAGCGGGGCTCCTTGAAAGTTGCTGGAGCCGGAGGAGGCCGTTCCCTGTCTACGTGTCCCCATCTTGCAGAGCAGATAATGACACGCTACTTTCGCAATGCAATTTTGTTACCGCAAGTGTCAGGCTTTGAGAGTTTGAGGATGAAAGAGACACAAGAAATTCCCCGCTCTCGTTTCCCATCAGGGTCTCGTGAGCTCGGTGCTCCTCTCCCTTCTCCTTACCGCCATACCGTAAAGCCCTCCGGTAGCCAGATGCACAAACCACTCTCTATAAAGTCGTCTTCAAACGTCTGTTGTGTGTTTCCCCTTCCCCAAAACCCCACGTCACTTAGAAGGATCTGAAGTCAGATTTTATTTACATTAATTCTTGACTGCGGAGAAACCTGCATTTTTTCCCCTTTTTATTTTATTTTGTTTTATTTTGTATTTCTCAAAAATAGACATATTATCACATGCTTCAGGAGGGAGTGCAAAATAATGACATCTTCAAAATAAGCAACATCCACTAAGTATATTGCTAAATCCATGGAGAGGAATCCAGGTACTTGGGTAGACCAATCATCGTAATAAGCAGACATTTGGGGGAAATGGAACCAAAGTTCATTATTTAATATTTGTTCTTGATGTTAAATTTGTGACTGTAACCTCTCAATGTTGCCCGTTTTGTTCTCTTTACTACCCTCCACGTCCCTCAGCTTAAACCAGACAAAATAATTGTCTTCTCCTGTTATCTTAGACTATAAACATTTGGAGGCTTAAAGGTAAGCACTATATTGACCATATTTTCTTTCTTTTTTTTTTTTAATTTTTATTTATTTATGATAGTCACACATAGAGAGAGAGAGAGGCAGAGACACAGGCAGAGGGAGAAGCAGGCTCCATGCACCGGGAGCCCGACGTGGGATTCGATCCCGGATCTCCAGGATCGCGTCCTGGGCCAAAGGCAGGCGCCAAACCGCTGCGCCACCCAGGGATCCCTTGACCATATTTTCTGAACCAAACATTAGACTCACGGTTTCGCATGAAGACTTACTTGTGGCACTAGAAAGAATATTTTTTTAAAGATTTTATTTTTTAAAAAAATTAAAGATTTTATTTATTTATTCATGAGAGACACAGAGAGGGAGAGAGGAGAGAGGCAGAGGGAAAAGCAGGCTCCATGCAGGGAGCCCAATGTGGGACTCCATCCTGGGACTTGATCCTGGGACTCATCACGCCCTGGACCTAACACAGGCACTAAACCACTGAGCCACCCAGGGATCCCCTAGAAAGAATAACTTAAATTAGGGCTGACCCAGAAACATTGAGGCATAGGATGGCTATGAGTGTGGAGATTGCAGAACACAGTGCCACTCATTCATGGTTTTTTGAAGTGATTAAAGGATGAGTAAAGACCCCAAGCAAAGTTGTAAAATGGGTAAGTGCATATTTGGGGTCTTCATCCACTGATGGGCCCTGTCATTACCATCTCATAGCTAAGATATGAGTTAATCTATAATAATGGTCAAAACCCACAAAATCGCATTTAAGAGGGTTAAATGCTGAATGTAGCTCTTAAGTTAAAAAGTCAGCTAGTTAAAGACATATGGAGAAGATCTGGCTGGACACAAGCTCACGTAGAAAAAAAATCCTGGTTTCAGGTGCCCACATGCACACAGGACTAACCACACAAAATGATTTGTTAAAAAGACATGCAATCTAAAAAAAAAAAAAAAAGACATGCAATCTGCCTTTTTTAATTTTAAATTTTTTTAAAGATTTTATTTATTTGAGAGAGAGAGAGATGGAGAGAATATGACTGGGGGGAGGGGCAAAGGGAGAGGGAGAAGCAGGCTCCCCACTGAGCAGGGAGGGAGCCCAGTGTGGGGCTCCACCCCAGGAACCTAGGATCATGACCCAAGCTGAAGACAGATGTTTAACTGAGCCACCCAGGCACCCCTACTTTTTTATTTTTTATTTTTTTTAATATTTAGAGAGAGTGGGGGGTCAGGCAGGGGAATGTGGGAAGAGGCAGAGGGAGAAAGAGAAAATCTTAAGCAGGCTCCATGCTCTGTACAACAGTGATGGAGGGCTCCATTTCATGACCCTGAAATCATGACCTGAGTTGAAATCAAGAGTCAGACACTCAACTGACGCAAGCCACCCAGGCGCCCCAGGTGCCCTCCCTCTTTTTTTTTTTTTTTTTTTTAATTAAGCTCTACATACAACATAGGTCTTGAACTCAGAGATCAAGAGTTCCATGCTCTCCCTCTTGAGTCAGCCAGGTGCCCCCTAAAAACATACAATCTATATTAAAATAGTGTCCAGCTCAAGAGACTGTACTCTGAGCTGGCCAGCCCCCACATGGAATATTGTGGCCAGTTCTGAGCACTAAGGCATGTGAAAAAAATTGACAAGCTTAAAGACTCCATCAGGGAGACAGCAGGTTTTGTTGATGAAAATCCTTTGGTCATTCAGCAGGAAGGAGCAGGAAAGGCTGATAGAGTGAAGAAGAAACAGGCAGGACAGGATGACTATCCTCTAATTTTTAAAGAATTCTCACATACAAATAGACATAGGTGGGGATCCTGGGTGGCTCAGCGGTTTGGCGCCTGCCTGCAGCCCAGGGCTTGATCTGGGAGTCCGGGATCGAGTCCGGGATCGAGTCCGGGATTGAGTCCCACATCGGGCTCCCTGCATGGAGCTTGCTTCTCCCTCTGCCTGTGTCTCTGCCTCTCTGTCTCTGTGTATCTCTCATGAATAAATAAATAAAATCTTTAAAACAAAAACAAAAACAAATAGACATAGGTAAATTCTGCGAGATCCTAGGAGGAAGATCTGTGGTCAGTGAGTGGAAGGTTTGGAGACAAATTTTGGTTCCATTTAAAGAAGAATCATGAGGGTTATCCATAGAAACTCCAGCTTGAAATGTAACAAGATCCACATCTGGTTTAAGCAGAAAGGCGAGGAGATCATGTTCCCATCTCCATGGATATTGCAGAATGGATTACTGCACTGGGCACAAAGGTTGAACTAGCTTAGCGGTTCTCAAAGTGTGTTCCCTGGACCAACAGCAGCAGCAGCAGCAGCAGCAGCAGCACCTGGGAACTTATTAGAATTGCACCTTCTGGGATCCCTGGGTGGCTCAGCGGTTTAGCGCCGGTTTTAGTGCGATCCTGGAGTCCCACGTCGGCCTCCCGGTATGGAGCCTGCTTCTCCCTCTGCCTGTGTCTCTGCCTCTCTCTCTCTCTCTCTCTCTCTCTCTCTGTCTACCATGAACAAATAAATAAATCTGAAAAAAAAAAAAAAAGAATTGCACCTTCTTGGATCCCATAACCAGATCTGCTGAGTCAGAAACTCTAGGCGTAGATCCCAGCTATCTGCATCTTAATAAGCCCTCCCGGTGATTCTGATGCACACTAAAATTTTGGAATAAAACTAAATAATAAAGGGCATCTT